GCTACATGTTGAAAATTGAACACACATGAATATGTCGTGGGTTAAAAACGAACATCTCCCGTGAGAGAAATTAGGATTCGAAGGCTAGAGACGGTGAGTAAGTGAGGATCCTGCAGTTACTTCCAAAAATAAAATAAAACTGTTTGACGGTTTCTCACACAGTGTAACAGGGACCCTGTGCACACAATTTTGTTCCACCACATGTACCACATGTGGTGCGAATGACAATAAAGAACCTTGACCTTGATACAATTAGACTATACTCAGAAGAAGTTCAGTCGAGCTAATTTTGAGAAAGTTTCCTGCACACAGTTATCCTTTAGAGGATTTTTTTTTTTCTCAGAGATCGTGAAGCAAATGTTCAGATTGTAGAGTTTTAACCTTCAAAGAAGAAAGGATGCTTCACGGGTAAACATTGCCCTGTACCACCTTTTGAGAGTGTGTTGCTGCCATACTAAATTGTTCCTAGGTGTGAGTGAGAGAGTGAATGGTTGTTTGTTTCGTTTGTCTCTGTGTGGCCCTGTGATGGACTTGCGACCTGTCCAGGGTGTACCCCGCCCCTCGCACAGTGATTGCTGGACATGGGCACCAGCGACCCCCGTGATCTAAAATGGAAGAAGCGGGTAAAAGATAATGAATGAATGGATGGATTGATGGTAAAATGCCTTAGTTTAAACATTTGATACATTTACTATTATTGTGACTAAAATATACCAAAGTTCATGCTCAGTAATCCAGGTATAAAATCCACCAATGTTTAGACCATTGTTGGATTTTATACCTGGATTACTGAGCATGAACTTTGGTGTTTGGAACCACTTTGGCACGACTGAGGAGTTGGCAGAGGAGAGGGCGGGCCCCGGAGGCCATGCACCACCTACTATGGAGTATGCCATTTGTAGGAATCAGTTTTGTTTGGTGGGTGGGGAGTGGTGGTGCAGATCGGAAGATTGCCGGTTCAAGTCCCGGTACTGACAACATCAAAATGTGGGTGGGAAAGGTAAAGCCCCCACACCTGCCTCCACCCTCATTTGACCCACTCTTGTCCCTTGAGCAAGGCCCTTTACCCCCACCATCTGCTCTCTGAGTGTACTAGATAGCAGCTCTCTGCTCTACACAGAGGGCTGTGGTAGCTTGGTGGTCTGTGTTTGCATCAGGAAGGGCATCCGGCGTAAAAACAATTGCCAGGTCTTCGTGCGACTTAGTTCGCTGTGGTGACCCCTGAAGAAGGGAGCAGCCGAAAGGAAAAAAAAAATGTTTGGTGGGTCCTCACATTGAAGAAGTCCTTTGAAAGACGAAACATTTCAGCAAAAAACAAAACAAAACAAAAAAAACAGAAACCATCCAGATGACCCGACTGAACAGTGTTGGACTAAAATATAGTTTTTAAGATTTGCAAATCAGTGTTTTAATTTACCCTTACACAACGCCCCAACTTTTATTTGGAATTAGGGGTTTTAACTTTTGCATGCTGGCTCAGTTGGTAGAACTGTTACCTCTCAGTCAGATGGTCACCAGTTCAAATCTCAGCCCAGGACTTTTCTGGGTGGTGTTTGCATGTTCTCTACGTGCATGTGTGGGTTTTCTCTGGGTAATCCAGTTTCCTGCACGTTAGACGGATTGGTAACTCTACATTGTCTCTAGGTGTGAGTGAGAGTGAATGGTTGGTTGTCTCCATGTGTCCCTGTGATGGGCTGGAGACTTGTCCAGGGTGTCCCATGCCTCTCGCAAAGTGATAGATGGACATGGGCACCAGTGACCCCCACGACCCAAAAGGAAAGAAGCGAGTAAAGAGGATGGATGGATTTGAACCTTATTTAGTGTGAAAATATGTTAAATGTCTGTTTCTTTAAAGATGCACAGAAAGACAAAAAGGGAAAAGTGACATGACATTTTAGAAATGAGAAACTCTGATTATTTGCAATAGTGTGTACAGTACAGTGTTTATATTCTCAAAACTTTTTTATGCTACATCAGACAATAAGTGCGCCATGTTTTCCTGTAACTGTGCGAAGAATTGAGCGAATCTGATTTTGTAGTTCTGTTGGAACGTCTTTGTGTTTCAGTGGATTTGACAGTGATAAAGATGAGTCCTGGACTTTTGGGGGTTGATTTCAGACATGAAAACCGGGAGGTGCAGCGATGTGATGCGGCATGCTGATTTAAACAGAATGTTGCTGAACAGGCTGTGAAACCAAACAGTGGAATTTCCTTTTAATATGATTTGAACGCTGCTTTTTGTTTGTTGGGATTAGGAGATTTGGCTCCTGTTCCCCCTTTTTACACTTTGAGGAGCTTCATAGAAAAGAGTGTGTAAGCGTACACACGCACATGCACAGATGGCAGCTGCTCAGCGAAGCCTCCGAGTGGTAATTACTGAGTGTGAGGGGCATTACTTAACTCTTAGCACTGCAGACTGCAGAATATCTGTATTGTTGCTGCTGTAAAGGACAAATTGATTTTTAAAGAGATAGGCTGGTTAAGGTTGTTGGGAATAAACAAAATCTACACTTTAGCTACAATATGGCTCAGCTTTGTGCCTGCATATACATGTTTATTGTATAAAATCAGATTTCTCTACAATTTGAAGGTTATGATAACTTGTTGGAAGTTTGTCACCAGTTTTAACAACAAAATGATGAAAAAATTTAAAACAATTCATGTAAATAGATCATTAAAGTTTCTCAGGGGATAACTTTTAATGTATTTGAACTTTATGTTCATCTGTGTGGGAATATTTAACATTCAAAATGAAAATATTTTTGTACTTTTTTCTTTATATAACACTTTTAGCCCAGTTGCACAAAAGCAATTTGAAGTTTTACCCTAAATGTTACATTTAAGGCCTTTTTTATTTAGCAATTGAACCTACAGTCATGACATGTGGGTGATAGTGTATTTGCCTATGTCTGTGTTAATTTTACTGTTGGCAAAATATCTCAAGAACCGCTGGACAGATTTTAATGAAATTACCAGTCAATTTTACAAATAGTGATCTAACATTTGGTCTTGTAGTAGCTGAGAGTCATGACACGAGATTGTTTAAAACTTTTCTATTAATAAAATATCTTGTGAACTGATGGACAAATGACATGTACAAATGATGTAATGTCAAAATGGCGCCACAGTTAATGAACCTTAGCAAACAGAAATGACTATAACTCAGCCAATTTTACAGATGTTAAAAATTGTTGGTTATATCCAAGAAATATTCCCAACACTACGAGTGCTAACAGATCATGCAAGATGTTCATTTTAAACTTTAGCACACAAGACTATGGGTGATATTCATTACTTCAAGGAATTATAGTTTTTTTTACATTTTATATTTTGCATCAATTTTTTAAATAAATGAATAACTAGAGAAATTGCATTTCCTGCAAAGATGCAGTGTGAATGCTTATTGCTGAAGAATTAGCAGACAAATAGCTGAAATTAGCTAAAAAAAAAAAAAAAAAACTTGCTGAATTGTAGCTGAAATTGAAGAACAAGCCTAAATTAGAAGGAAGCAGAAAGAACACATTTGCTGAATTAGGTTTAAATAAGCAAAAATGAGCACAGAAATTAACTAAAAAAAAGGCTGAACTGAGCAAAAAAAATCGTTGAAAGTAGCTCAAAAGGCAGAAAGAAGCTTAAACTACCAGAAAGAAGTGGATAGAGCTGAAACGAGCTAAACACATGTGGAATTAGCTAAAATTAGCATACGACAGCTATTTGAAATAGCAGAAAAAGCTGAAAATAGCATAACAAGCTGAAATTAGCATAAATAAGTTAATTGGGCTGAAAGTGGCATACATTACCACAAAAATTTAATTTATGTTAAAGCAGCTGAAATCAACTAAAAATGCAACAAAAAAATGTAGCTGAAAAGGTAGAACAAGCTTAAATTAACAGAAGAAAGCAGAAAGAACACAGTAGGCCTAAAACAAATAAGCAGAAATGAGCACAAAATGTGGAAATTATCTGAAAAAAGCTGAAATTATTAACAAAAATACCCAGCTTAAAAGTAGCCAAAAGGCAGAAAGAAGCCTAATTTACTAGAAGGAAGTGAGAGCACATTTCTGCTGAATTGGGCTGAACAAGGTGGAAACGACTGCAAAACAAGTGGAATTAGCTGAAAAAGCTAAAATTAGCATAAAACAGCTAAATGCTAGCTGAAATAGCAGAAAAAAGTCAAATTTGCAGAAATCAGCTGAAAGGAGCATAACAAGCTTAAATTAGCAGAAAAAAGTTAGAAGCACAAAAATGTTGTAGTTAGCAGAAATATTCTGAAAGGATCACAAAACAGCTGAAAAAAACCAGCTGAAAGTAGCTGGGAAAAAAAGTTTAGATTTGTACAAGAAAGCTGAAAGAAACTGAACCAAAACAAAATGTGAAAGGAGCAGTAAAAGGTTGTAAACACATCTAAAGATGTGAAGGATGTAAAATGAGCTCAATGCATTTTCTATGAGGAAAAAGTGTCAGAAAAGGCTAAATATTTCAAAAAGCTAAAGCTGCACCAATACCAATAGTCACAACAGGATTGTCCTGAAAGAGCTGAATGTTTTGATTTATGATTAGTTGAAATAGCTTAAAAACTGCAGGACGAGAATCACTCCGAAAAATGTACGGAAGAAAAATGGATCACAATTAATTGATCACAATAGTGTGAATGCTTCATAAACATCCACACCATAAAGAAATGGCTGCAATGTTTATGAAATATCGTTGATCTTGCGTGTTTGTCTTATTATTAGCATGTGCTTTATTAGCATCATGTTTTCCTTAAAACCTTTGTGTGCTCAGATGAAACAGCAGAGATTGGTCAGTTCTTGTAGATGTTCCACTTCTCATTCAAAGGGCTAAAACAAACCATCTCCAGTTTTTAGTTGTTTTAAACATAGAACACCTCACACAACCTATACAAAATAGATTGCATGTTGATGTTAAGAGAGAGATTCAGTAAAAGTTAAGGTGACAATTTACCAACTTGTGTGTGACAAACTAAATCCATTTTCCAGATTTCTTATCATGGCAGTGGAGAGGGAGCGGAGAGTGATGACTCAGAAGGCGAGAACCAGGAGCTTGCACAAATTGACAGAGGTATGTGCGCCACACACACACAATACACAAGTTATTTTTTTTTATCCAAGTCAACATTATAAGCAGTAGAATTGTAGATTAAAGGCTTTTGCACTGTTTTCCAGCTGTGTCTTCAGTTTTTTTCTTTGACACGTCTTGCTCGTTAACTTCTCCAGAAAGACGGAGAAATTGCGCCCTCACCCCTTTGGCCACCAGCCAGCAGCACAATCAGGGTGCCATCTCTCCAGCTCGCCTGCGACGCCTCCGCCTCCTTCTAGATGCCAATCTGGATCGTCACTCATCAGAGGAAGAGCTTGAGCGGATCAGCTGTGGCGATAACAGGAAGTGGGTGTCCGCTCTGCCACAGCGCCACAGCGATCACCAAAGCAGCGCTTCAAGCGACGAGGAGGTGCGGGACCTCTGTGGGTGCCGGTCGCCGCCCGCCTCTGCCAGGCCGCTGGTCGAGCCTGGTGCTTGCCTTGCTGCCTCTCCCAGCCCTGTACTCTTCAGCTCCAGCCCACCACATAACCTCAAACCGCCCCAAATAAGATTTCAACTTCAGGTGGTTCAGCCAGTCACACGGCCCATCATTCTCACCCACTTTGACCAGTCAGCACCTTACAGAAAGTATCGACACAGCTATGGTGGGGAGTCTGGGAGACCCAGTCTGGATCTGGAAAAAATGCAACAGGTTAGTAGTTCAGTTTGTGCTGTGAGGGAAAAACACAAACTGAAACAGAGCAACACTGAAATGAAATTAAAGAAAATGTTTTCTTAGCCAAAACATTAAATTGACTGTTACAAAATAAAAGCATGTGCGATTTTTGTATTACATCAACAATTAACTTGTTTAAGTTCAAATGCAACTTGAAAAGTTAGTTTGCTTCACTAAATATCTTCTTATAGCAAAGTTTAAATTTCAAGGTTTTAACATTTCTATAACTTTATGATTTCGACCAATTTCATTTTAGTCTTCCTGCAAGGTTTTTGCACACTATGGCTCGTAAGCCTACTACACAAGTTTTGTGTTTCTAAGCTGCGGTTCGATCACAAGCAGAGAAGGTTTTGCTTCCAGAGGCCAATATTAATTTAACTCACTGAAAAGTCACACGTTTTATTAAATAAACTATACTCATTTTAATTCAGGCAGCTGTAAGCAAACATGTTCATGGTTTTATCTGCCCATTTTTACAAGTTTGTAACAAAGTTAGCATACTTTGCAAAAAAAAACAAAAAAACTTTTTAAACAAATTGATCTCCAAGCAGAAGCATTGTAGTTGTATGTAGTTAAGTATTTATCCAGAAACTTTAACTATAAAGAAGAAGACCACCCTAACCCTCTGAGCAAATCCAAGTAGGATCTCAGTTTGGGGATTTGGGCCAAAAGCACAATGACGGCTCGGGCACACATGGCTGCACAAAATGCAAACGGAGTCTTCCACTTCCAAAGCCGGACGCTCGACACCTCGGAGGTCCGGCTGGAGAGGGATGAAGGAGAGGGGTGGCACAGACGGCAGATGTCCGCCCTCATTTCTTACAAAGGCTGCAGAGTGAGGGGAAATGATGGAGGGGTGGAGGCAGGAAAACCGGATTAAATAAGCAACAGAAAAACGACAGCCACTAATGAGTCACAGAGAATCTGCTGCACTAATCATTAAAATCCAATAGACCTGTTGGCCCACACTAAGGATGGGGAGAGAGTGAGTGCAGGGGGGAGAAACTGCAGGTTCCAGGGGTCCATATGTCCATGAAGTTTTTAGAGGGAAAGAACAGATGATGAGAGACAGCAGGCAGCAAGAGTGTGTGTGCATCCATCACCCTGCCTGTCTGTGTGTACATCCTCTTTTTTTTCTATATCAACATGTCTGTATATGTGAGAGCGTGTGCACGCTCAGTCGAGTGGAATGGGAGGTGCTGCAGGGAATACAAAAGGGGGCCTGCAGAGGTAGGGAGCTGACGGTTTCCCATTAACCCTTTAGCTGAGAAACCTCCAGACTCCATGTAATTTCTTTACCAGATTCCCTTCTGGAAGAGAATCCAAAGACTCAAAGTCAGAGGAATCCTGTCGTAAAAACTGGTCTTTTTTTAGATAAATGGTAGATGTTATTATTCTTTAACATTAACAATCTTCAAAACTTTTATCCATCTTTATATAAAGACCATCAGCTGGCACATTTAGCCACAGTGTCTAGGCCAGATGGAGCTCAAGTTGAATATTTAATAATGTATCTCATAATTTCATTGACCAGGAAGGTTAAAGGGTCGTGGAGTTGCTTTCTTTTACTCCCCGTTAATCCCATCACAATCCACACCACAGATGAGGCCTCTCCATTTGTTAGTGTAATTATCTTGGAAGAGCAGCAGTTTGAGCAGCAGATGCTGCTAATGGATAGTTGGTGCAAACGTGTTGCTCAGGTGTTTAAAGTACTGCAGTGATTCAGCAACCTGTTGCCAGTTTGTTTGTTTTTAATGCATGAAAGTACATTGTCCAATTAGATGGGAAAAAACAAAAGTAGAAAAAAAAGAGCATTTTACTTGTTTCCAGTGAAATAACATTGCATGGCATAAAAAAAAAAAAAAACACAAACCTTTTGTTTCTATAGCACAAAGTTGCATTGCTCTAATTGAACACGTTTTTATTTTCTACCACCAGCTGCTCAGCGAACTGCACCAGTTTATCTTTGAGTCTGAATGTTGTCCATCATTCTGTGTTGTCATATTTTTTGTAGAAATAAAAGTTGGTGCTTTAAGGAAAATGCCTTTAGGATTAACACAAACATTAATCAAAAGTTTCACTATGAATTAACTACGATAAAGCAACTTTATTTGTGTTGCAGCTTCCTCTCAACAATCTGGATTCCCTACTACAGCAACAGAATAACTGGTTAAAATCTTCTTATCGCAAATAGTGAAAAACATTAAAAATGTACCTCTAAAATTTAGAAAATACAACTTATGACCATATTTAAGTTGATGGTGATGTTAGGTGAGATAATTCTTTAAACCTTTGAGATGAAGAGAGAAGCTGACTTGTATTAATGTTTTAATTTGCATTATTTATTTCCTTCAAATAATGTTTAGACAGACCGTTGTCAGAGGGAGTGTAACATCACTGATACAGAAAAGATGAGGGTTGGCAGGAGGGCAAGTGCACAGCAGGTCTGTCCCACATCACAACAGCAGGAGTCTTGAGTTTCTTTTCTTTCATGGACTCTTTGGAAGCTGCCTCTCAAAGTTGAGACAATTCAGTGATTGTGTGGTCCCTCCACCCCCACTGTTATTTAAAAAAAAATAAAAAATAAAAGGCTGCGTGGACATTAAGGGTTCGTGGGAGACAGGATATTGCATAAGTTTGAACTTTTTAGTCAGACAGCTGGATTTGCCTCTATTCCATCATCACCCTGATTCATCCTCTTATAACATATTCATGTAAAACTATCACATTTGAATCATCTGAATGTAATATGATATCTGCATATATTAAAGTAGCGCTGGTTTATGTAAACGTGGTAGTTTTAAAAAAGGAGAAAAAGTTTTTACCACTGGTTAAAGGTGTCACCCTAAAACAGGACTGACTTGTCCAAGTCACCAGTTTCTTGTGTCATTAGAAAGCGACATCGTAAATGTGCCATAAAGAAAGAAAACAGTCCTGGAAGTCACCTGCTGGCCACTTCAGCTTGTTGTGCAACTTAATTTTTTGTAAATTGTGCAAGTAGGGCTCTGCAAAGCAGAAAGAGTAGCATCATCTGCAAGCTCATTTGTTAATTAGGAAGAACTCAGATTGTGAATTATGAAATATTGTGAATGTTCAAAACTAAAACTAAATGATTAAAAATGAAGATCAGTTCAGCTGTGCTATCTGTGGATTTTGGAGACGTTCTGTCCGACTCTTTCTGATGCCGTGCCTGCTGTGGGTGGTTTTGTCTTATTGTTTCAGTAACAATGCTAACAAACATGGTATTTTTAAATGACAGCTTTTTTTAATATTTGTTTGACCCTTTCAAACCAGAGGTTGCTCTCTGCCTACTTCTGTGATACAAAAACTTCTCTGGACCAACTTTTTACCAGTTTCTGGATTGTTGCTAAAAGTCATAAACATTTGTTTTTATTGCTGAATGAACTTTCACCTGCTGTCAGTGAATATTTTTGTTTTCCACAGAAAATGCTGCTGAAGAAGAACTGTGGGGGGAAAACGAGAACCATTAAGATCCGGGTGAGTTAATTAAATCATTAATGTTTTTTTATTTGGCATGTTTTGTCAGACTAAACTGTTAACTTATTTTATTGTAGAAGTTGGAGACCAAAGCTAAAAATCAAAAGGATTCAACTTCTAAGCTTTTGTCTCATCGTAGCATTTACTTACACAAGTTAAGCTTTTATACTGATGAGTAAATGTGTAAGGACTTCTTTAACTCTTTTGCTCCCTGAACCACTTTTTCACCATTTGATCTTGAGGATTTATTTCTTTGTTTTCTTGAAATTTGCCCGTGTCAACCGTTGAACCTCTGATCCAGAGTCCAGTCTTTTTACACGTTAGTAACCTGAAGCTTTTTATAATTGAAATAAAGTGTTTTTAAAGACGTTAAGTACCAATAACTTGAGTTCTCGTTGCACAATTTGTTTAGAAATACTTTTTACTTTCACTTTTCAACTTCCTTTTGTTTTTTGTTGTGTATATAGTTATTGTAATTGATTATATTTTATCAAAGGATTTTCACATTTTTTCCTCAACCACGCTCTTTTTGAAGATGATGATTTATTACTCCTTTCTTGTCTTACCAATGTATCAGATTTTTCTAATTGTAGGACTTAACAAAAATCTTTGTTGTGGTTTTCTAAATTCTGACTAATAATTAGACATTTCTGAAAATTTTTTTTTTAATTTAACATCAGAAATTATTTTGACATGGCAAAAACAATTATTTTTTCCTTACCAATATAAAATGATGACCAGAGGCAGAGCCAGAAACCAATATGACACGTCACTTTGAAGCTGTTTTTGTATTTTTTGTTTTCTCATGTATGCTGCTCGTTTGCTCATGCACACCACATGTAAAAAAAAACAACATGAAACTCATAATATTAAAGGATTCAAGAATTTTTTTATCGTCATACCAGCTCATATTTACATGTTTGTGGTACGGAATTTGGACTCGGGTCCCAGATCAAGAAGCCTAACAATTAACAAATAAATGCAAAAGAGTACAAATATATGTATAATAAATAAAGTAAAAGAAAAGTAAGATGAAGCTGAATTAAGTGCAGCTCGAGTTCAGCAGTCTGACAGCTGCAAAGAACCTGTTTCTGAGCCTGGTGGTCTTGTTCTGAATGCTCCTCAGCCGCCTGCTTGATGGGAGGGGCTGGAACCGACTGTGTGCAGGATGAGTGGAGTCCTTCGTGATGCAGAGCGCCTCCTCCTGCATCGTGAAGTGTAGAGATGCAGATGAAAGTACAACAGTATCTGTTGTAATATGCCATCTGTAATATCCACATTGATGAATAGAAATATTTAGCTTGTTTTTAGATACTTTTAAAAGTGCACATCCTTAGCAGTTTGTTAACAGTAAGTCATATCTTTTTGCGTCTTTGCCATATTAAAGGAATAAAAACATAAACACATGGTGCACAGGAAGACTTCTTTGTAAGGCAGGATCAGGGTGTCTGTTAGGGATAAGGTTGCTCGGTTGCCCTGCGAACAGCCAGGCCTGTCCTGTGGCCAGCACCTTGATCTCCATCCAAATGCATACTGGGACGGCATCTGGCTACAGGGTTTGTTTCCATGCCCTGCTTGCTAACTGCAGAAAACCTGATAGCACCATCAGATTGATTTTGCAGCAACTCTGTCAAACTTTTCTTCAAATTTCTTATACAGACATTTTTAATGCCTGGCTTTTCACATCAAACGTGTCTCAAAATATAAGTATTTTTCAAAGTTAGTGCCCTTTTTGATTTAATTATCCATCAGCTCTGCTTCCAACTGTGTTGGTTTTTGTCTGAGGGAAGCTCGGATGGAACCGGCCTCAGCATCTTGGCACAAAGCAGGCCACTCCAGAAGGATGCTCAGTGTGGTGAGAGAAGTGACATCATCATCACGTTGTGTGGGATAGTGTCAGTGGAACCTTTTCACACACTTGTTTATGTATACACACCAACTGTAGCAGCATCTCATGTGCATCTTTTCCATGTATGCATCCAGGCTCGTCTGTGGAGTCAGAAACCGAGGATGATCTCTGAGTAAGTGGCAATGAGAGGTAGAGCAGAGGAGGAGGAAGAAGAGGAGGTGGAGTGTGTGCGGTTCCCTTGTGGTGTTTTTCCAGAGATGGAGTCATTTTCCATTTATAGCCTGGCCGGCTGCTATCTGTTTAGCTCAACTGAAACATACAAGTATTGCTCATTATCCTCAGTTCTCGCTGGTGGTGTTGTTGTCCCCGTCAGTGACGTCTGCGGGCATTGGGCTTGTTCCAGCTTTTAGATTTTCCTTGAAATGAGCACACAGTAAGTCTTTGAGCCATTTGGAGGCCGGTGTGGGCTCTCTTTACTCTTTGTGACACTCTGTACTATGCACTACTCATCTCTCTCCCTCTTTATCTGCAAATTCTGGATTTCCTGGCCACATACCAGAAGAGAAACTGGGTCTGATGGGGCCCTTCATTTCAAGGATTCTAGCATGGGAGTAGTTGCAGGGGTTACGGTTGTTAACAGTGGTGTGTGTGTTTGAATGGAAGTTGGAAACAGAGTTTGCAGCGCAGACTGCTTCAGAGGCTTGTTCTTTTCGGGGGTTGGAGGTGAACAGAAGAGCGTGTCGAAGGCCTCAGCAGGCAGATGCGAGGGCATCTGGTTTCAGCCACCATAAAGTGCGGCTGGAGAGCAAGGTGACGATTGATCGAAGTGAGGGAAATGGTGCAGATATGAATGGAGCGGATGGAGGGAAACCGCTTCAAGTCACTGTGGTTTATACTGAAGTTAATTACAATGTGATGTGATGTAGAGGTATTTTCAGCTCTGGCAGAACTAATGAGTGCATGCACAAGTTCCAAGTTGGATGAGTAGGGCAACAATCTATAGTATCACATCTTTCACTGCCACTTCTTTCAGGTCAGTGACTTCCTGTGTATCATTTCTTTTGCCTGTTTAAACCAACATTAGCACATGTTATTCTAACTCTAAATAGGTTTGGGAATTGTTGCCGAGTTGCTGCAGCTCATTCTTCAGTGCTTGATCCCAGAAGATGTTAGCTGAAGTCATAGGCCACCTGTGGCCTGACTACATGGGATTTTTTCCCTCACTGATGTGACTGGAACCAGTCAGCAAAAGTGCTGTGTTTCATACGTTTCTGCATGGAATCAACTCATTGCAGCCTCTGGAGAAAGTGCTGCCTCACTGCCAAATCCAACAGAGTCATTTCCTGTCGTTTCCTGTGGGGAAGAAAATGACTAGGGCTAATTTTAGACAGGGGGCTCGTATAATCACAAAGAAGGGGAGTGAGGAGTGTCTTTGCAAGTGGAAAAGCACTAAACCTGCAGCGAGAGTGAAATCAAATCTGTGTGAAAATGTTCTAGGGTTGTTTTCCATGATGCGTTGTTTTTCCATTGACCTCCCTTCAGGATTGTAAGACATTTATTTGCCAAAACCAAAATTAGAGCTCGGTTGTACGGTGTACCAATACATCAGTCAATCTTTTGGCTTATGTTTTCTGTCCTCAGAACCTGACTGGCACTCGTCCTCCACCCCGGTACACCTACGACCCGTCCATCTTTGCCTTCCGCTCCTTGAGCACAGTGCCCCCCTGCAGCCCCCTGACTCCACCTGAAGATCAGCCCTGCTTATAAGCAAATTGAATTCACCATGCCAGACACCAGCCCCACACCTCATTTCCAGGTGGCTTCTTCCTTGTGGTTTCTGCAACAAGTTCAAGGACTGACCACTGGAAAGTCATTTGTTTGATGATGGAACTGTTGCGCTCTCAGGTAATCCCTCCCTGTCTTTTTGATCATTTGCTGAAATTAGAAGCTTTTGAAGCTAAAAGAAATACGTCCTAGCATAACTTTTCTGATGTTAGGTGTATATACAGCTGTAACTGTGGAATAAATGATCACAAAACAAGCATGGACTGCAGGCCAGGGCCTGAACTTTGTTGTAGTTTGGATCTTATTGAAGGGAAAGATGCATGTTAGACAATCAAGTGGTTCCAGGGTTTTTTCCTTTGTAACTTCCTATCTAAACAAGGTGAGTTGAGTCATCTGCTATTTTGTTATGCTTCAAATAAGACAGTGGTTGCATTTATCTGTCTAAAACTACTTATATGGATGTGTTTGAGTACACAGTACTATAAGGTCGAGCTATAACAAACATGTATGACTGTAGAGGAATAGTCGACCTTTGATTATGATGTACATTTCTTAACAAGTTGTCACTTGTAGTCCAGGTCAGTTATTCTCTTTTCTTGCATGAATTCCACAGCTGTGCAGAAAGAGAGATCTGTGGAAACAACTGTGGCGTTAAGATTGCTGCACATTTGGCTAAACAGTGCAGTGTTCTGGATAGTCCACTTGTAGTGTGCCATTTCCGTTTTTCCAATATTGTACCTCATTGTTTCTAGGTAAAAAGAAGACCACTGGTCTATTAATGATGTCCCAGTGTTTCTGAAGATCTCTTAAATGCCTTGAAATGACATTCCTGTTGTATTCAGTTAAATCTGAGGTACTGCCCAGCTCTTGAGAAGCTGAGTTGAGTAAACACAATGCCACCGCTGTAACTAAGGTTTTGCCGAATTGAATGTAACATTGTGACATTTCCTTGTCAATTGTTGCACAAAAAACGTATTCAATAAAAACTCTGTGGCCTCTTTGTTTATGAAGTGACTTTATTTTAATTAGATTATATAGAAATAAAAGTGGAAGTATTTGAGATAAACTAAATGTGCATATTACGTTGGATTTTTGGAAATATAGTGGCTAATAGTTCCTATACCAAGATTATTTTTCACGGGTATGAAATAAGCAATGCTCTTTACCAATAAATTGTTATAAAATATACCTTGTTATAAAAATGTGTGTGTTCTTCAGTTTGAAACAAAGATGTCATGTGATCTATTAGCGCTTAAGTATGTGTTGGTGATGAGTCTCAAGTACTATTATACCAAGTTTTAGTTCAATATATATATAAAATTATTGAACTATGATCATTTTTCTGTTTGATATGGTGAATTAGCTGTAGCCGCCAGCTTGAATCAGATTGACTCAAAAAGATGGAGCTAGGTTGTTGAGAGCTTTGTAGGTTATAAGTAAGATCTTGAATTCAAATCTGAATTTGACAGGAAGCCAATGGAGAGAAGCTAAAACTGGAGCGATATGATCTCTCCTAACTCCAGTTAAGACTCTGGCAGCAGCATTCTGGATTAACTGAAGACTTTTTAAAGAAGACGCGGGAAATAAAATAAGTGTCCCCTTTACACGGCAGCAGTGAGGACTGAATCATCTTAAACACAGATTACATAAATCTCCTTTTAAAGAATTTCAGTATCAACAGCGTTGCAATGTATTCATTTATCTTATTTTGTGCAGAATGATTTAATTTGGTAGATCAGACCCTGGAATGCTCTCAAAGTGCTGAAAAAGCTTGGAAAAAAAACAGGCAAAAAATAATGTTCAAAACATCTTATTTGAACAGGTAAAGTAAATACTTCCAACATCTCACAAGTTATATACAGATATTTTTATTACATGTAACAAAATACAGTTTACATTTATTTATGTTCTGAGAAAATACAAGAACAGAGCTGGTCGGACGTGTGGGAGAAGCTTAAGAAAGAAAAAAAAAACAGAGTGGGATTTCACAAAGAAAGGAATCCTGTTCTGAGCAAACGCACACCGAGCTCTCACCAAGACAATCTGGTTAAAAAGAGAACTTTGAGCAGAGTGTGCATGTGTGTCCATGCATTTGCCGATACACACACTCCACTTAGCTAGAGTCATTATCAGCTTACGTTTCATCCAGTACGCCATCCAAGTGTCCAGATGGTCAGAAAAGCTGCTTCAATGCTTTCCCCTCCCTGCTACACACTCCCTCCTTTAGAAGGAAGGGAAAAGTAAAAGGTTGCAGCAGCTATCGGCTGAAGCCAAAAAGAGGGATGCAGATTAAATGTCGGGTTGGTTTTATCAGAAAAAAGTAGAATTAAAATGCTGTTCTTTCTATTGTTGCTCAAATTCAAATAAAAAGTGCTCCCAGTCTTCATTATTATAAGGAGGGAGGAGCACGAGGAGGACAAGTCTTTGCATTGAAGCAGTGGGATTTATGTTTGTCACAGTCTGAAATATGAGATGAATAAAAAGATGTGGTTGTGTTGGACTGAGATGGGAGAAAGGGAGGAGTGGAAAAGGAGAACATCGGTCTGATAATCCCCATCAGTAGCCGTACTTGTCGTTGAGGTGAGTGCGACCGTCTCCAGTCTGACCTGTGAGAGGGAAAGCATCGTGAACAACCTCAGCACCAGAGCTACATGTTATCAGCCTAAACACAGCTCGGAGTTGTTAAATTTGTCCCTGAGTAAAAGTTCAGTCTGGCTGCTGCTTCAGAGCTCATTTTATTCACGCTCATCACTCTGGAACGACTGAGCAGCATTCCTCTGTGAACAGTCAAATTGTTGCAATTTCAGCTGCACAAATTAACCTTAAAAACCTGTTTACTTCCCCTTGACGACAAAACATTTACTTAATTCATGAGCATCCAACTGTGGGTGAGCTTAAAGGTGATTTAAGGACACGGTTAGCTGATTACGAGCTGGACAGTTGTTTACCTGCAGGTGGCAGCCACACTGAATAATCAGGGTCGTCTTCTGGATACTGTCCTGACAGCTGCACTGGAGGCTGTGGACACACCAGCATTAAGTTGCTTCACATGTTCCTAACTGTCACATGTTAAATTGGGCGTGTGGGGCGGTTACCCTGCTGGGGCCCATCACCCTTTTCTTCTTTTTGGGACTGGGGGCTGCTGTTGGCACCGCCTCACCCTCTGCCTTTGACTCTGTGGACAAGCAGATGATAAACTAAGTGTGAATCTAAATAAATTAATATCTAAAAGTTTCTCTCGCACTTTTAAATCTGTCAATGTTGGAAATAATAACATTAATACCTTTCCAGGTCTGGTTTTGAAGGTGCAGCATGGTTTAAAATGTGTTTGTCGACTCTAAATAGTCTCACTAAACTAATGACCACATTTTAAAAAGATCCACCTGAGTTTAGGGGGGCTGTTGATTTTGTGCTGCTGCTCAGAGGAACCTGCTGCTCTGCTCCATCACTTTGCTTCACTTTGGGGACTTGATCTGATAAGAAGTCAAGCAAACAAAAAAAATATGAAAAACGCAATTACAGAGAATTTAGAAGCATTTCTTTCTTCACTCTGAACATATGAATTAACTTGTACACTGAGATCCACTGGAGTTCAAGACAAATACATTTATTTCTGAAATTTTTAGAAAGTTTTGGCGTTGAATAAAAAGTGCCTTTTATTTGTAAATCCTCTACAGTTTCGGTCTGAGTCTAGTCAAAATGATAAACTAGATCTGGTTATTTCCACTGCATGATGTTTGTAAAATTGAGACATTGATGTTTTAAGGAGAAGGCAGACGGGAAGACCGCCATCTAGTGGTAGCATAAAGAAACATCCTGGATGCTCCTACAGAAGGAAACAGTTATTTTTACCTTTGACCTTCACGGACTCGTCTTTCAAAGACGTTTTCTCTACAGATGTGGAAGCATCAAAATCTCCTGCGTCAGGTTTAAGCACAGTGGTGCCACATTCATCGCCATCATCTTTATTTATCTCTGTATCCTCCTCTTCCTCCTCCTCACCACCAGGTGGAAGCTCTTTCATGTTGAAGAGTTCTGCAGGCAGGTTGGGCCGCTTAGGAGGCAGTTTCTGCAGGAGAGAGGAGAGGATGAGCAACAGGTACATAACTGAGATAAAAGAATATTTCGGGATTCTAGATCACCCACTCCGATGGTCCCAGTTTTCAGTTTGAATTTGCTTCCTCCTTTCATGGCTCCAAACAGCGGTAAGCTCTTTTTATGCTTTTCTGGCTCTGAGCTGCCACTACCATAGAAACAAAGATCAACAAGCTTTGAGTTTATAAATGCACCTATATATATATATATATATATATATATATATATATATATATATATATATATATATATACACACACACACACATGCACAGGTGTGTATAAATAGTAATTAAAACTTTTTCAGAGCAAAACATGATTTTGTACCACCTGGAAAGCAGCGAAGGCATCTGCGCTGGTCGCGTCAGCTCCACCAACTTACGAAGCCTCTGAGCTTCTTTACGCAAGTCGGCCACATGCAGGTGGAGCTTCCGGCGCTCCACGGAGTCCATCTCTGCCTCGCTTTTCACTGCAGTCATGAAGGCATCCAGAGAGTCCTCAGCGGAGGATGCTGAACAGTCTGTAAGGAGTCAAAGTTAAACGGATGCGGAGACTTTTGAATCACAGAGGCATCTGTTTACAGGTGATGGGAACACACCTCGACCCCCGGAGCTGAGCTTTTGCTGAGAATCTGCTATCTCCTTCTCCACTGCAGACAGTTTGGCCACCTGCAGACCAGATAACAGCATGGGTGAATGTTTGAGGAGTCAAGTTTAATGAAGTTAACATTTTTAAATATATCATTTTTATTATTTGTCCAACCACCTGCATTCAGTACTTCCTAACACTGTTCAACTGTTGCCTGTTTACCAAAGAATCAAAGGTCTCAGGTCGCTCATCAATCTTCCCCGCCTTCTTCATTCGTTCCTGCCTCTTCCTCTCCACGGTCCCCGTTCGATCCAGGAAGGTGTCATCGTCACTGTCGTAGTAGTCCTCTTCTTCCCAGTTCTTTTTTTTCTTCCGCTTACGGGACACTGGAAATAATACAGCAGATTGCAGCCTGAACGAGTTCTAGCTTAATGGGACGCTTCCTCCAATCTGAATGCTCACCTGCTTCCTGCCGCAGCAGCCCTCTGGCCTCCAGCATCCGGCAAGCCTCTAAGCAGCACTGAATGGCTGCTTCCTTCTTCTTTCCTGTGTGGGTCACCTCGGCAACCAACTGACGGCCCAGTGCATCGTCCACTGGCAACCTGATAACCAAAGCCAAATTCTGAAGAGGATTTTCAACAAACATTAAAAAGCAAAATCTTTACAATGCTTACTTTATTCTGCAGAGCCAACTGCCATGATTTTTGTCTTCATACTCCAACTCCAGTTCCTCTCCTAACATACACACATCCATGTTAGAAAGTCAAAAGCAAAATAAAAGCAGAGAAAACAGTCCTTATCTGCAGAGTCTTACCCTCTCTGTCATAGAAACCCTGCAAGGCTTTCTTTGGGTCTTTCAGGTAGGCTGCTTCCTGGTCTTCTTGGAACTCTGTTGAAAAGGGGTTTTCCTCATTCTCATCTTCCTCTGGAGCTGCCTCCTCATCTGCAGAATGGATTAGTAGACAATAAAGGGAAGAAAAGGAGAAAGCAGATGGTTTAATGTGCTTTTTTATAAAAAAGAAAGCTTATCCAGACTCCTAGCAATACTATAAATCAGCTGTGTTACCAAAAAAAATCTACTCACCCATCCCCCATGAGCAGCCAGTGTCTTCAGCTTTGCTTTTGCCCTTGTTGCTCCTCTCTTTCCCCTCATCCTCCTCTCCATCAGACAGCTCTCCCATCATCCTCTTCTCCAGCTCCGCTCTCTGTTTGCGAGCTTGCTCCCTCAGCTCTGTCACTGTCAGTTCAGACTCCTCTTCCTCATCAAACTCCGGACCCTGTGAAAAAAAAGTGGGGAACGCCTTTAGTTTGTGCAGACTCTGGGTTGAACGTGAAACGCTTTCCTACTGCATGGTCCATTTAAGCACCAAATTACATGGTTTTGTATAAAATCTGTATTTTTTTTACTGGTTAAAACAACTGGAAATGTAATCGATGAAATGAGTTTCAGATACAAATAAAACGACTTTGTACCTGAAGGACAAACAGCCTCGTACTCCCTCCAAACTTCAACACATGGCCCACATGCAGTCTGATGAAGGTCTTGGGCGGGATTCTGTTCTTGTTTACCACCGTGCCATGTGTGCTGCCCAGGTCATGGATGTAAAAGCCCCTCTCCTCTCCGACACAGCCCTCCTGTCCGGGCTGTCCGCGGTACTGGATCACCGCGTGGTACCTGGAGATGGACGGATGCTCCAGGGACACGCTGCACACAGGCAAACGTCCAACCACAATGTAGCTTCTGTCAGTAAGAGGCACCGTGTCCACAACTGTACCGTTTTTGAGAATTTCAAGAGAGTAAGGGATGTCTGGCGGTGGGCCACCCCAGGAAGGCTCTGTGTACGGGAGAGGGGGGAAATTTCCAATTTTGACAGGAGGAACCTTCGGTTTGACTTCGTCTCTCCCGTCGTTTTCGCCATTTTGGTCCTGGCTGTGTCCTTTGTCCACAGTTTTGTAATCATCAACAATCTCGTTAGTTCTGTCTGCGACGCCACTTTTGTCATTTCCGATTCTTGGTTCAGTTGAGGCTGATGATGGGGCGACGCGTTTGTTGAAAGGAGCTGCGAAAAGGGTCGGTTTCTTAAAAGTATCCTCGGCCTCTGGCTCACGTTTTTCGGTTAACTTTGTTTCTTCATGTTTGTCTCCATTTCCAGTGGCTACACTCTCCTCGGTTTCCATTCCAGAGTGGATTTCTTCATCCATATTTCTCACGTCTGTAACAGGGGAGACGGCCATGTTTGTTTGGTGTTCCAGTAATATTAGCCCGCAACACAAGTAGTTCATATAAAAAAACACGTCACACCTCCAGATAATAATTATAATATAGTAGTAATAGTTTTAATAATGGATAATTTATTTCGTAAAACCCGTATCACTAAATGTTTAATTTAATTCCGCTTTGAAATAGAAAATTAAAGCGGAACAGAAATTATCAACTCCGTAGCCGGAGCTTTTTGCTGCAAGGACACAAACTGAGATCTTTCAACTTCCGTCAAACCTAGAAAGGATTGTATCGTTTAATATTATCCAAACTTCGATCAAGGTCAAGGTAAGTTTTGCGTTGTATTTTATACATTGAAAATGATCAGTGGAAATACCTATGTCAAATTAGTTAGTTTTTGATTAGTGGCTTCGTGAGTGTTCTGCATACTCTGGTTAAACAGTGTTGTAAGAGTTTTACTCATTTCAAACCAATATTTTTTGTTGAACGACAATTCTGCGTACATACAAATACTTTTTTAAAAATATTTAAGCTGTATGATTACGATTCGTCTTTCTTCACACAAAAAGACGATGCTAAATACATTTTATTGTCACGCAATCATAAGTCCTTTAGACAATAATGTGCCCATTTTCATATTGCAGTTGATGTAAACTTGGGCAGTGACTGGTCAGCTTCAACAACCTGGCCACTAGTCAGACATCTGGTAGTTTACTATGTAAAATTAATGATTTTATTATATTGCATTGTTTGTTAGATGCCTGGTGAAAACAGTTTCCCAGTGAGTGGAAAGTGCAGGTCACATTTACCTTGTTTTATTAGACAGACAAGACTGTCGTAATCTGATCGAAAACCATTTGTTTCTTTTTTTTTTTTTTTTTTTTGAGGGGTGTACAATAATATTAAACTTTTTTGCCAATTGGTATTGTTATTTATCTGACACGTTTTTTGACTTCATTTAGGTCCAAGTCTAGTTGTGTCTTTGTTGAGTCATTATGATGCGCTATTGGGGTGAGATCCCAGGACCTTCAGGGGCTCCCCCCAGTCGCAGCTCCTTCGACTTGCTCCAACGCGAGTTTCGCTCTGTGGAGGTGCAGGATCCTCCCCTGCACCAGCCCTCAGCCCAGCGTCCACGCCCCACCACCATGCTAGACATCCCCTCAGAGCCCTGCAGCCTCACCATCCACACTGTACAACTGTGCCAGCATGCCCGCCGCCTCCGTACTCTTCTGGCAGCAGCGCAGTTTCAGGGTCAGAGCTCGACATCCTCTGAGGGTGGCAACCGGCTGGAGGAGGCTGATGCCAGCTTGCCTCGACGTCCTCCAACCCCTCCTGCCATGCCAGATGATCTGCTGCCTGTAGACAGCAAAGCCCCACGTCAGCCCTTTCAGCTTTGCCATAGTGACCCTGAGAGCGACTTCTATAAGTAAGTTTTAAAATGTACTCCTTTTTTGGTTTATTCAAATTCTAAAGTCTTGAGTCATTCTTCATTTCTTTGTGTCTGCGCCTTATGAGTCAAACTTTTTAAGTGGTCTTAATCAGTAAATCTCTAGGCTTTCTGAAGGTCTTTTAAAGTATGTCTTAGAACATCGGATGTATTTATTTTTACTAAAGTTTTAGCCCAGATCTTGTACATAGTATTTCTACATCACATGCACAGCGATTCGAACAAACTATCAAAAAAATGAGGGATGGCTCAAGTCTTGTTTACATTACAGTTTTTTCCATTTTTCTTCCTTACATTTGTACTGGTTTCCACTCACTTCAGAGGTAAAGGTGAACCAGTCACAGAACTGAGTTGGCCGTCCTGCAGGCAACTCCTTTATCAGTCAGTAGCCACGGTGCTAGCCCACGCTGGCTTCGAGTCTGCCCAGGAAAGTGTGCTGGAGACCCTGACAGACCTGGTTCATGAGCATTACCTCCAAATCACCCACCTGCTGCGAGTAGCAGTGGATCGCGAAGCTCGACAGGGATCTAGTCCTTTCCCGGATGTGGTAGAGCAAGTGTTCCATGAGGTGGGCATCGGCAGCGTGTTGGCCCTGCAGCGCTTCTGGCAAGTGAGGATCAAGGACTATCATACCTTCATGCTGCAGGTGAGACTGAGATTTAGATGTCTGTGTTATTAATAACTCTGATTTTGTTTGTTCCTTTTCCTATGCATTTAAATTGCTAACTGAATGTTTTCTAGCCTAAATTTTTATTAATATTTAAAAAAAAAAAATACTTGTCCAGACTTTGAACATTTTTGTACAGTACATAAATATTTTTTTCTCCTTCCAGGTAACTAAGGAGCTGTCAGAGGAATACGAGCGACTGGTGAATCCAGAGAAAGCTCTAGAAGACTCCAAACCCCTGAGGATTAAAGAGGAACCCATGAGTGACATCTCCTTCCCCGTTAGCGAGGAGCCTGAGGCTGACCTGGCATCTGGGGATCAGGCTTTGCCTATGGGGGTACTTGGAGCACATGCTGAAAGACTAACTTCAGGCCTGGATGGTGACCATTCTCCACATGGCACAGGTGACACTAGTGCTCCTATTACATTGTACTTTTGGAAATTTATACTTCCTATTATTAGACATTCAACTAAGTTGTCTAATTACTCAATGTTACATATTTAATTTTTTTTTAAGATGTTGCCCTGAGTTGTAAAACTTTCTGTGGTCTCAAATTTGGCAAACTGGCACAAACTTTCTACCAAAACTTAGATAGCTTTTTCCAACAATGTAACATTCCTGTTTGGAGTTAAATTAAAACAAATTAGTTTGGGTAAACAAACAAAAAGATAATTTATTTAATTTTTCTCACAAGGGGGCAGCGTGGCCAACAACTCCCCTCTGTGGCCCCAGGTGAAAATGGAACCGCAAGATGGCGATGAAGGTCCAGGTGTTAGCCACCATCACCATCATCACCACCACGGAGCCCTGAGTGGAGATGTATTTGAAGAGGGAGGACCCATGTCCACCATGAGTGAATCAGGAGGAGCCATGGCACCGTCACCGGGAGGAGTGGCGTCTGACAGCAGCTATGGTTCACATTCGCCAGATTCCCTTATGGGCACCTCGCCTGTCTTCAACCAGAGACCCAAGAAACGGGTGAAGAAGATGTGATGATTTTTGCAAGGATGAAAGAAGCTCAACAGACTGAAATTTTCTCCCATGTTTTTATTCCATCAGTGAGAAAAGAACTGGACTCAAAGACGAGGCAATGAAAATCGCTGACTCATTCAGTGAGGACTGAACAGATGAAAAGGCAAAATATTCTTTAAAAAAAATTTTTTTTTTTAGGAATTTTAGTTTTCTATTTTTTCAAATAAAAGTTGGAAGTTAGAGTTTATAACCAAATAAATAAATATCTTGTGAAGTATCTGTACATGGAGTTTATGGTTGGATTAGATCAAATTAAACTTTATTGTCACTACACATGTACAAATACACGGCAACACAATGCAGTTTGGCATCTAACCAGTAGTGCAATAAACAGCAAGTGCAGAATATACATTACTGTATTATACTGTGATCATGATAAACAGATGTGGGTAGGATAGATAATATGAATGTGCTACATACGATATACAGATTGGTGTGCTACAGACCTATAAACAGATTAAAATTTATCAGATGGGCGAATGTGTGCATGTTGAATTACTTGCAGTGTAGTTTATAAACAATATACAGTGGTATGTACAATGTGAACAGTCTAAAATCAAGAGAGGGTTTTTTTTTTTTTGGGGGGGGGGGGGCTTCTGAAGCACTTGCTGGAGGGAAAGCAGGCAAATAGTTTATGTGCATGCAGGGTGAGAGGATTCCTTGAGAATGCTGCGAGCTCCGTGCAGACAGCGTTTCCTCTGCATCTCTGTAATGAGTGGATGTGGAGACCCTATGATGCTCTCAGTTGTCTTCACCACCTGCTGCACAGACTTGCATGCAGTCTGTGACAGTGCAGTTCCCATATCATACAGTGACATTACTGGTCAGGATGCTCTTCTCACACATAGGTGAAAGTTCACCAGGACAGCCATGGAAAGGTGGTGCTTCTTCAATGTCCTCTGGAAAAAGAGGTGTTGGTGAAAGGTTTGTAAGCTCAATCATCCAGGTAGATGACAAAAATGGTTAAATCACATCATCTGGACCAGTTTATTTAAGTGAGAAACGTTTCATCCCCCATCCGGAGGACTTCATCAGTCTGCGACCTGCCAACCAGATCTGTCCCATATAGGTAGCCTTCGTTGCAGTGTTTCAAGCCAACCTCCTGTTGAAATCTCAGAAGTACTCTTAACATGTGCAAACAGTGCACACCCATCCAAAACATTCAATCATTCTCAACAGCAACCAAATCTTTTAGGCCAGGTGGCCAACTTGCTACTCACAGAAACAGCCTGTGGACAACCAAGGCCAAAGTGGTTCAGAAAAAGGTTTATAAAGCTCAGTCATCCAGGTAGATGACAACAGAAGCATTTGTGAGCTTTCTTGACAAGGTTGGAGGTGTTGGTGGTCCAGGACAGGTCTTTTGAGATGTGGATCCCCAAGAACGTGAACCTGGTGATGCATTCAATAGCTGTACTGTTAATGTGGATAGTGCCTTCTTGCACCTTCCTGAACTCCACAATGAGCTTTGTTTTGGTGGATTTAAGGAGCAAATGTTAGTGTATCATGCGACCTGGTGCTGAATCTCTCTGTAGGCTGTCTCATCATTGTTGCTGATGAGTTCAATCACTGCGGTGTTATCAGCAAACTATGATGAAATTGGATCCATGCACAGGTCTGCAGTCATAGATGGAGTAGAGGAATGGGCTCAGCACACAGCCCTGTGGTACACCTGTGTTTAGTGTGATGGAATAGGGTCGGTGTGGCCTGACTTAACATGATGAGGATTGTTGGTTAGAAAGTCCATGATCCAGTGACAGAGGGAGGTGTTAATACCCAGATCTCAGTTTATAGACTAACTTGGCAGGTTTGAATGCTGAGCTGAAATGGAGCAGCACATGTGTATATGTTGTTATTGTCCAGATGTATGAGTAGAGTGCAGTGCTACGGAGACGACATCCTCTGTACTTCTACTACAGAGATAGGCAAACTGATATGGATCCAGAGTGGGTGGTAGGCAGTTCTTCAGGTGTACTAGGACCAGTTTCTCATAACTCTTCACAACAATGGGTGTAAGTGGTAAAGAGCAGTAGTCGTCCAGGCTCGTTGGGCTGGAATGTTTTTGAACTGGTACCAAACTGGTGGTTTTGAAGCATTTTGGTACAGTTGCCAAGGCAAGAGACAGATTAGATATATTTGTAAAGACTCCTTTGAGCTGCTTTGCTTGGCTGGGTATACAAACAGATGATGAGTTAATACAAAACAGTCTACAACAAACAAACTAGAGAGTATACTCAGTATCTTTCAGTCATAAGATTTTTTTATTTCAGAACATGATAAAAAAAAATGTCACCATCTTACCAAGTGTGACATTTTGGGATATCTGTGCCTAAATGCTCTAGACCAAAAGCTTGTAAAATGATTTCAGGTTGAACAGATGTGCTCACACTCGCTATTTTTCCAGTAAAGTAAAGTTGTTTTTTTTGTTGTTTTTTTCGCAATGCTTTAATTTTAGGAGTGGATCATTTTAATTGTCTTTATATACAATTTAAACTATAAGCTCTAAGCAGTTATATTTTCTCAAGAATTGGAGTGATTTAGTTCAAGAACCTAATTTTTCCATCAAATTGGCCAAGCCATCAGAACTCTTGCTGCTCTTATAATATTTCCAAGTTGTATTCATTAATATAAAAATTTGGTTAACCAAAAATGGACACCATTCCTTCCTCGTAACGATACATTTACAACTTCTTGTTTTCCCACCGCGACACTCTTCACAAGTATCTCGACATAGTGAAACGATTCACACTCCTGCCAACCTGAAGCCGCTTCACCAAATTAGCATCTGTTTCAGTAATGAGGCAAATCTGTGGATGCAACACCAGAAGCAATTATGGCTTGGTTGTTTGCATCACGAAGGTAACATCAATCCAGCTTTAATAGCAAATTAATTATGCCACGCATAACTCTGCATCCTGAATGAGCGAGCCTGTTTGAGTGCAAGTGATTTTCTTTTGTGTGGACCTCTTTCATTTTCACAATTGGACAGGTAATTGTCTGTTCCTCTGGAAAGTGCTGATGGGGGTCATATATATTGATATTCAGTTAGCTGTATTGATTTGTGTTTTCTGCAGTGCTGTGGCAGCCAGATGATGGTTCAGGGCAACTGAACAAAACAAAAGTTGGACCCTAGAATACTAGAGGTAGTCAGCATAATGAATCCTGCACATACAATTCATAATTGGTGTCAACAATGACTCGTGCCACACGTATCATTTAATGTCTTTCAGGAAAATGAAACCATTAAACAATTTAAATCTCGCTCTGACTTGAGTTCTGCATGAAGATGGAGTATTTAGTCATTTCTAGTCATATTATCAGCTTGGTTGTATTTGATTGTAATTTACAAGATGACATAATTGAATATTAAGTCTTATAATTGGACTAAAATATGTTTATTTTATAGGGATGCAAGATATTGGATTTTTGGCCTATATCAGATATGCTGAGATGTTAAAACTTATTTGGCCGATAGCCAATACCAATACTGATGTTTTTTCCCTACACCTACTTCCAGAGACTATATAGCTTTCTCTGCTGTGGAATTAAAATACTACATTATTCTGCATGGTCTTTGTCAATTTGGCCTGCTACCAAATGCAGATGCCAAAACGGGCTGAAAATGATGTAACACTACATAAATATATAATATATATTTAAAAACAGCGCCTTTTATATCAGTGAGTTATTTTGATGGAATGGCCGATGTCCAATATTTAACTGTATCTCTAATATTGGCCGATACCATACCGATAATATTGTGCATCCCTAGTATTTTAGGCTTTATATCTAAAGGTAGGGGATTATTTTTGAAACTCACTACTAATCTTATGCTAGACTATTACCAGTAGTCTGAAATCACTCAATTGTAAGTCTTTTGTCATATATAATATCTGCCTCTTAAAAGTTTAATTGCACTTTGAATACCTTTTTAGAATGTAATCTTTACCAAATGGAAAGTTTGGCCTCAGTAAGTGCTGCAGATCCTGGCAAATAAAAATAGAGTGAAAATAATGAGGATGGGTAAAAAATAAATAAAATAAAAAGTACTCAGACTTTATTTAATTGCCTTTTACAGCTTTCCTTCTGTCCTTTATAGAGTTTTGAATTTGATCAGATTATAATAAAGTCACGTCACCCCAGCTTTATGCAACATTGGTCTAAAAAGCCTTGTGTCGTGTCACGAATGTCTGGCCGTTCAGTGACGTTAAGGTCTGCTGTGGAAAGTCTGAAATAGTCGACTCTTTCTTTGGTCTTTATGTTCAAAGCTTTGAAGTGTGATCGAGTTTGAACTGGTCTCTGAGAAATGAGTGTCTTTGTTCTGCCTTTGGTTGATTAACTGCAGGCGTCCAACTGCAGACCTTAACCCAACCTCATTTTACAGTGGGTTTGATCCATTGCTGTATTTTTCTCTTTGCTACTTGTGAGTTTCTTTCACTCACTGTGAAATGCTGACATGTCTCAGCCCAAATAGAGTTTATTCTGTTTTTTGTTTTTTTTTATTTGATTTTATTGAAAAGTGGTTAAAAATGCTGCAAAGGAGCAGAGACTCTGTCTTTATTAATTTTAATATCTTTAATAAAGTTGTTATTGTTCCTCTCTCTAAGCCAAGCTTTATGTATTCATCTTCTAACATGCTCACCTTTAGCCTGCCTGATCATTCTTCTACTTGTGGAGTCCAGGTAGACAACAAAGCCATTTTCATTACATTATTGTTACTATTTGGTCAGTTTAATGACGGCTAAATCATTTTCACTTTTAAACATTTTAGTTTCAGTGAGAAATGAGATCTTATTCATGAGATCTACTATAAAAAAAGCAACCTTTTATTTCTGTTAAATAACATACAGAAAATACTTATTGATCCTTCAAATCCAAAACTGTGGAACACATAATCTGCTGCGGTTGTGACCGATGGGATTAAAACTTCAGCATTTCACCCATTCTGAGGCAATTTACTCCCCATCCCCATAGTTGTCAGTGGATCCTGAGCTGCTTTGTGCTGTTCAGGAAAAAAAAAACAAACAAACAAAAAAAAAAAACTTGTAATTACAAAAATGTCAAGATGTCTTTTTCTTAGGCAGGGGTCT